AAGAATAATTATAAATTGTTGAAAGTACATTACTGGAAGTTTAAAAGTGAACATTACGTTTTGCAATGCGGTAAATTTTAGAAACTTTATAGATTATAAAACTAATTTGAAACAAAGTTTACAAATGAGGTATGTTTCGAAATGTAAACATTAGAGATGTCTTATAAACATGTTTAAAGTAAAAAGTTGCAGAAATATCATGTTGGGTTTCGAGAAAACACAGTAAAGTAAAGTACAATGTCTAAGTGAGAAAGCGGTCAAAATAGTCGAAACAAAATGGTTTGAAATGCCCAATGAATCTTTTTAAGTTTTTCGAAATGTGTCAAAATGGTAACAAGGTTTAAAATGGTTTATGTGCCTATAAAAAGCACATGTATCCATTGAAATGGATTTGAAATCAAATTGAAATAACAAGGTTAAAACCAACATTAGTTAAATTGAGTTTTGAAGAAAAGTGCTAAGTTAAAGTAATTTAGCAAAAGTAAAGTCGGTTGTTTTTAGTGAGAAATATGGCTTATATTGTTAGGAAAGGTCTAGTAAGTTATATGAAGTGGTTATAAAATATTGTACTGACGGTAAATAAAACTAGTGAAATGAAATAGGTTTTTGATTGAAGATTAAAAAATAAGGAATAGGTAGATTAGTGTAACTAGTTGTACCTAAACGCTAAGGCGAGTATAAGGCAAGTACCGGTGCCTTTCCCCAATATAGAGGATATGAAAAATCGTTTGTAAAAAGTTTTATGGTATAGATGTAGTTTCACGCCTTTTATGGGGGTCAAAGGTTAAGTTATAGGTTTGGCGTGTGGTGCACGGCGTAAGAGGATGTAATCCTTGATAACGACATGAATGTTAGTAATGTCGATAAGGACTCAAACAAATGTATGAAAACGATAAGGGTTGAAGGAGGATTTGAAATTATAGGAAGGATTCATACAACGAAGTAGTACGATGTTAGATCGGGCATGAAAATTTAAGGTTGAATGTTAGGTGTGAAACATGTTAGTGATTTGGAAACTGTAAGATGATTGTATACTTGAGATGATTACTAGTGCATCTGGGAGCCTCGAACTAAGACTTGTAAACATTCGTCATAAAAAGGATGATTTGTGCTTGAATTAGGATATTCGAAGTAAAGATGGTAGGGTAAGAACTACTTAATGAAAGGTTTTTGGTCAAAGAGATATCATAGGTTAAGTTTTAAGCGCAAGTTGGAAGCAACCTAAAGCTAAAGTTGTAGCGTAGAAGGGAGGTCTCATGTATCAGTAACAATGGGCTAAACCTCCGTGTCTCCTCGCGATTCGGATTGGGAATGCTCGCCAAATCCATGTGACTACTTGTGGCGACTCATCTACCTTCTAACGCGATGCTCCAATTTTCATCTGTGTCGGTATCGGAACGCTGTTCCTAGTTGTAACTGTAGTACGAAGACGATGAAGAGGTATTGAGGTATAATTGGTATTTGTTTCGACTTAAGTGTTTCGAATTAAGATTATTACTAGTGGCTATCTAGATACTAACCTTACGTCTAGAGTCAATAGCTACCAAGGAGTACTCGTTCTCAGTACTAAGTGGATTGCTCCTAGAGTGGCTAGTGATATAACCTAACTAGTTAGCCTAGCACTTGATAAGGGATAAGAATATTTCTAAATATAGACATTGTGATAAAAGTGCACTTAGTTTCTAAGTGTACCTAGATGAATGCCTATAATATGTGATGCCCATACGCACAACGAAAAGTTTTGTTTTTCAAAAGTTTAAGTTGAAAATCGCTTTGAACATAATTCTATTATAACCGTTTCCAGTCTCACATTAATTTTCCTTAATTAAGCATAGTTGGTCAGACTATACTTAATTAAAGTCCAATAATACGTACTGGACTTAGTGATACCAGTAGTATGTTCAATATTTTGAAAGCTGTTTTGAATTTTTTTGGCTATAGTTGGGGTTCTCCAAAGGAAAACTGGTATTCTCTATAGCCTTCGACTCTGATACCATTTCCTATCACACCCCGCTAAAGAGGAAACACGGGACGCGACAACACAAAGGGTCTCATAGCAAAAGTTAAAAGACAACACCAACCATAATATCAAAAGATTTACAATTTACAACTGTTATAAAATGTATATAAGACTGGAAATATCAAAAGTCATTTTTAGACAATGGAAAACCATTTTTAGATTTATGGATGTTTAATCTTAGGAAATTGAAAATAAATAGCAAACAGTTAAAATAAATCTTCAAACTTTTTGTACAATTGTTATTTAATGTATATAAATTGCGAAACATATTGAAATTGGTTTTTAAATAGTTCAACCTGCTTTTAGTATTTTTGTGTATTTATTCTAGCAAAAATAGAAATAAATATTAAACAGCTTAGGAAATTTCCGAAACTTTTTATTTGTAGTTAAATTCTAATATACGATATTATGATAATTTCTTGTGATTTGTAGAGTAGTTTAACTATTTTTTCGGGATTTATTCACATAAATAAGCATTAATTCATGAAAATTTACTAAAAAGTAAGTACAATTCATTAAAATTTTTATTTATGGTTAATATGTATTATGATAAAGTTTTATAAGTTTTGGAGAAGTGTAGCTATTTATTATCAATTTAACCCCTTAACCTTCATTAAATCAGGAAAAATAAGAAATATTCATGGAAATATCTGTAAATTTCTACATGGAGTCTTTATGGTGTATAGAAGGTGTGAAAATTATCAAATATGGTTTTTGACATTTATAACTGTATTTTACTATTTTATTTCTCTTCATCAAAAATAAAATCAAAATAAACAGAAAACAACCATAGAAATGCATGCAACTTCATAAAATGTCTTCACTCAGTGTATGGATTTTCCCAAAATTTTCTCAGAATTTATTTACCGCAAAAAGTATTTTATGTGAATTATTTATGTATTTTCTTGCAACAATTACAATAAATTAAGAAAAATGAAATATTTTCTGAAAATTCCAGATCATCTTATTTTGTTGTTTGGATTCTGGGAAAAATAGAATTTGAGCAGAAAAGGAGTTTTAGATCTTTATTTGTGAATAAATCCTTATAAGCATTCTTAACAATGCACTTTGATCATCAAGCCTTTAAGCTTGATGTTCATCACATACATTATGATTTGAAGACCATGAATGAACTTATTTTGTTCAAAATGATGTTTCTAAATGGAAAAATTGAATGCATGTGATTTTGGATCTTTAAAACTTGTAAAACTCAAGTTGATGGATTTGATTTAGGTTTTGGTCATTGGATTTCACCTTCTAACAACATGTATGTTGTATTTGGTTGAAATCCTACCACCATCATCATTAAATTCGACATGCATGAATATGCATATGAATGTTCAAATAGAATGGTGTAGAAGATGGACAAAATGCAAGAAAACTTGAATTTTTTTAAAGAAAAATTAAAAAAATATATAAGGAAATTGATGTCAACTTCAAATGATGAAGATTCTTGAGTAAAATGAGGGATATTTAGCTGGAAATTCGTGGGTTTTGGGGTTAATTCATAGAGGTAAAGAGTATGGGTTTTAGAAAGAAGAAAAGAGAGAAAGAGAGATTTTGTCTCTCTTGATACCTAATCTCTCTCGTCATTTCTTTGGGGTTTCTCTCCACCAAAATACATAAGTATGTGCAAACTCATGAATAATCGAATGTAAAAATCTCTCTAAATTATTCTGCTTCTAAGTTTTTAGAGAATTAAGAGATAAGTTTTTTGAGAGAAGGAAGAGATAAGTTTTTAGAGAGAGAAGTGAGGAAGGAGAAGAGTGTGGAAGTGATCAAAATGATTGAATTTGGAAGGAGAAATGAGGGGGGAGAGAGATCTGAAATTTGAGGAGGGGGGGGTCATATTTCAGAATTTTCTTGTACTTTTTTATAAATATAAGATTTGAGAATTTAGTTTTTATAAAATATAAGCTTTTATGGTCAATTCTATAAAAGTTTGACACTTATGTTCATAAATAAGGCCAACATTTATAATTTTTATTCGTTGATCTAATTTATGTTCCATGACTTGTATTTAATTAAAGATATTACATACATGGCATAAAAGTTTGGAGGAAATTTAAATTTTATAAAATTTTGACATTTTAAACTATCATAATGGATATAGAATATATTGGATCGTTTTAAACCCAATAAAATTGTTAACACCATAATAAATGGAGTTTAGTATTTGAAATAATCAAGTTGTTCAATATTAAAACACTTATATTTTTTTTAGCAAGTTACTTATTTCGATAAAAATCAGATTATTGGCATTCTATGTAGTGGTTTTGAGATTTAAATGAAATTGATGAATCAAGTATACTAGTCCTAGTTTCAACTTTGACTTAAATTCCTATGAGACTCTGACCTAATTTCTACTTCTAGGTCAAGTGCATGATGAGTCTACATGAATGTACAAAGATGCCCGTGTCAATGAATAACCCGAATTTGGATAGTTGTTACAGTTAAAGTAGTTGTGGAATTCACATAAGTACATTATCCTTGGATTCTACTTGTTTACACGTTTTTAGTAGGTTATGACTTAGCCTCGAGCTACCAAATCTAACATGTGTCGTACCTATACGTGCAACTAAGTTTATTCATATGATTCGAATTTTGACGGTTGTTACAGTTTTATATGTTTTTAATTAGTTTGTGAATTAATATTGTATGATTTTAATTGGTTTGTATTTTTTTTTTAAAATAAAAATTGAGTGGTTGGTTGGGATGAGAGTGATGGGTTTCCATGTGTTCTGGGTTGAAAGGTGGAAGTGAAAGGGGAGAGAAATTTATGTGGCAAGTGGCTTAGGAAAGGTAGGAGGGATGGACTCCCTCCACCCTTATAAATACAAAATTGAAAGTACAACACCATAATGCAATTGAGTTTTTAAAGTAGAATGCCTTAATAAGAAAAAATTTAGCCACAATGATGTAGCAGAATGAAATGTAAGTAGGATGCAATAATACACAAACTAATAAAATTATTGAAGTACATTGTTTTTCATGCATTTAGCCTTTCTTTTAATACAATATTAACTGGTGCTTCCCTCTTCTTTAACAACTTTCTCCAATTTTTTTCATTTCAGAATCTTCCCGCTGTAGATTCTCATTGTGTGCTTTCTTAAATTTCACAACAAAACGTACCAGAGAAGTTATAACTGTAAAAACAAACCCAATAAAATATCACATATCCACATACAAACTATTAATCAAAAAATTAACCTTAATATGTTATCTACATAAAGAATTAAGATATTGACACTAAAATCTAAGACAGACCTTGCTCCCAAGGAACACAACTGGGATCCTCCCCAAAATATACCGCAAGTGAGTCTGCATACTGAGCCTGTAAAACATGTATGCTTGTTACAGTGTAAAGTAGTAAACTCGAATATTTCTCTCTCTCTCTTTTTCTTTTTTTTTTTTTTTTTTTTTTTTTTTTTTTTTTTGGAGTTAATAGATCTATAAAAGACTCACCACTTCATTAAACGAAGAGGTAAGAGGTGGGAGTTGATCATCAGCACTATCAAGAAAGCTCTTCAAGGCCTGGACAGCAGTTGAAGAATTGATTTAGTTTTTCAAAAGAAAAAAAAAACCAATATCGACGAATATAAGTCATTTCAGATGAAGTATCAATCAGAATCCGTTTTTGTTTTATCTTCAATACAATAAAATGACTATAACCAGTTTTACTAAAGATCCATGAAAAATAAATAAGTAAATATGTACTTACCTCTCGGAATCGAGCTGACACATCCCCATCATTATCCGAAGCATCAAATTCATTTTGAGCCTTCTCGAAACCGTTGATTATTGCGTACTTGTCCTCATGCCAACTTTTAATTTGTATCTAATGGTTTGATGTGGATACCATAATGGAAAAGGATCACAATTCACAATCAAACAACAGAAACCTGATTAGTTTTAAGGCATTCTAATTACCATGGAGGCAGATTGCAAGTGAATCAGATCCTTGTCAAAATCCAATAACACTGGTGTTTGCTCAGCAACCACCTAATTAATAAGCAATAGTAGAGCATGTAAGTACCAAAAATGAAAACATATTAAAATTAGTGAGACATGAAATTATATTGAATATGTAGCGAATGTAGATATCATAATTTTAATTTTCTTCTAGTTAATAAACTGATAGCCAGTGTAAGGACAAAATTGGAGTCAACAAGATTTATACCTTGCATAGATAATGCAAGAGAGTGATCTTCTTATCCGTTGCATATGTATATCCCAAATTCCGAAAATTGTCTAATCTAAAACCTCCAGTGGATCCTGCAACGTAGATGATATAATGTACCTCATTGCATGAGACATAGAAAGGAAATATAACCTTCAAAATATGATAATATTTCAGCAATCGTTTCCTACTGCACCTTCAGTTGTGCATGCGTTTAATTTATTCCCCATAGTGAAAATTATCTGCATTATCTTCACCAGCTTTGTGGATTCCATAATCTAAATCATGCAGATGAAACTAGGACTTTGAAAAAATATTGCAAATATGAATCAGGGTAGCCTAAAAGCCACGATGATACTTTCTCATTTAAGTGGGTACGTATAAGCTTTACTTGTAACTGAAATATCAAATTAAAGAATCTGAGATGCAAGTTACCTCTTTAGTAGCGTCTTTGATTGTAGTTAGGCTTTCACTCAAATTGTTAACCTACATTTTTTTTTAACTTAAGCCAATAAACAGGCTAAAACAGACAAAACTCTTTGGTCAAATAGTAAAAGAATTCTGTAAGCATATTCACCTGACTGCTAAAAGTAATTGTGAATGCAAATACTCGTAGTTTTGGCTTTATTCTTGGTATCTTCGCACATTCCAAAAAGAACTAAAACGCCAATTGTATCATAATTAATGCATTTTGTAAGAAATTATATCTTTCTACAATACTTCCGATTTATGACTAAGAATACCTGTTCACACTGTCCAAGCATTTTCTTATATCCTGTATAGCTCTGAGATTCTCTATGTGTTATTAGGAGTGATAGGAAGAATACAAAGTAAGAAGGGGAAGAACAGAGCAGAAAGTAGTACCTTTACTATCTCCATTTCTTCTTTTGTAGGACAAAACTCGATAAGATTATAAAGTTGATGAACACTCATTGCAGAAGAGTCTAACGAAAGAATGGCTTTCTGAAAATTAAACACAGCTTGTTAATGTTGTAATGAGATCTCTGAGATTAAAGCAAACTACAACTTGATAAAACCAGCAAGAACTTTTGAATTTTTTTATGCTACAAAATCAAATTGTGGCATGAATCATGAACGATCTGTCTTGCATAGTGTTGCAACAAAGTGTTGTACATAAATGATTTGGTTCAGATCGTGTATAGGATTTCTGGTTTTGCTTGGTTTATCAATTTTAAACGTCCATCTCCTAAAATAGTAATATGAACTTACAATAATATCAGGTAGGGGTAGATTTATTTTCCCAAGCATGATTTCCCAAGTACTTGCTCTCAAAGGTTTAACCTGAAATGAAAATATAAGAAAAATTATCAAAATGATTTAACAATACTTATGTAAAGAAAATAAAGGATTTTATTACAAAACTGAAGTTATTAGATGTTTTTGTTATTATTTCAGATTTAGACATGGAGCTGGAATTGGAAGTAATTAAACGCAAAGATGGATCTTTCAAGGGTACAGGGAGTTTATTAAGCATTAAATTACTTGGTCATTTAAATGGTGGAAATACGACACTGTCAATTCATCCCATGTCGACATATCACCAAATATCGCATCTTCAAAATTTAGGATATTTTTCACCCTATTTCTTTACTGAAACAGATATTTCCATTTAAACCAAACAACTCATTACATGGTTTGGTTTACATACTAAAGAAGTGAAAATTTGAGGATGCAACATAATAGTTAAAGTACATCTTGAATCAACTAACCAAACAAATATTTTCTGGTTTTAGCTTTTCGGAACCTGGTTGACCTATATCCTTGTGTGCGCCTGTTGACATGGAAGCAGTTAAAAACAGACTCTCAAGCTCCGTTATATCAATTTCAGGAGCCCTATAAAGTAACAAATTTCATCATTTTTTACTCCTGAACCTAAACCAAAATATGATATGTTTTATAAAATAAATAGCAATTGTCATCCAACAAATCCGCATACCTTGATTGGATCCCGTGTTTTTGAGACACATTCCATAAACTTCCTTCCTTTGCATTGGTTTTCATCAGTTGGAGGGGCTTTAAAGGTCTTTGATTTATAGAAGCTGAAGAACTTACACCAGAATGTGGAGGTGGTAGTGGCACATTAGAGTTGTCCGGAGGAGGAGGTGGCAGTGATACATTATAGTTCTTTGAACGTGCAGGTGGAAGTGGAGGTGGTGGTGGAGGTGGAACCTTAATCAACAGAAAGTGTGAATTTAGTCATACAACATTTCTGAATCTGATAATAGTATTATCATATGACACTTGAAAGCATAGAATATAATCATATATTAACAAACGTAAAGCACTAAAAGGTCCAACTACCCACCATTTGGATCACATTGGTTGCTAGTTTAAGAAGATGATAAAGAAATGTAGACATAAAAGATAATTTGATTTTCATTATATATTAAGATATATTTTTGGTTGTGGCATGGTCCTTGGTTAATCACACTTTTGTCCAACCACATGTTACTACTAGGTACTAGCATATTCAGGAAATTATAATGAAAAGTTAAACTAGATTGATGATGAAAAATGTGTGATTAGCAAGGAAAAAATAAACTTACTTGATACTTCAGAGCAGTTTCAAGTATTCTCACAACCTCGTTGGTTATTGGTCGTTTTTCAACGTCCCTTTTCAAACATCTATAAGCAATTGTTATAAATGCCTTCAACGAACAAGGATTTATTTCATCCTTTATATAACTAAAGATAATACCACTTAGATTATTCCTTTTGTAACACTTTCGTACCAATTCAGCAAAAGGTTGTTGCATACCCTTGTTGTCAATACACAACCTCCCACACAAAACTTCAAACATCACCACACCAAATGAATATACATCGGACTCCTTTGTTAGTAACCCTGTTTCTACATACAATGGATCACAATACCCAAACGTACCTACAGCACGGGAGACCATAAACGTATAATGCTGATTAGCTGGACCAAATTTGGATAGACCCAAATCTGAGATCTTGGCATTCCAGTTTTCATCTAGTAATATATTGGAACTTTTAATATCACGGTGTAATACTCTTTGTTGGCTCCCAGCGGGATCATGAAGATATGCTAATCCACGAGCCACCCCTATGCATATATTAAGCCGTCGAACCCATGTTAGATCATTGCTATTGAGGTGTAAGTCAAGACTTCTGTTTGATGCATATTCGTACACTAAGATCTTCTCACCACTCTCATCACAAAACCCTAAGAGGGAGACAATGTTTTCATGTCTGTAAAGGGAAAGCATAATGATCTCTTTCCAGAATTCAGGATCTCCTTGACCAAATGCACGATCTAAACGTTTTAAGGCAACCGTGGCATGGCCCCTCGAATGGACGAGTTCGCCCTCGTACACTTTCCCAAATCCTCCTTTTCCGATGCATTTATCTTCAGCAAAATTGTTGGTTGTTGATATTATAGCTTCTAATTGTATTCTGAGGTGTTCGAACTGTTTTCTAATAGACATCATTTTGATGATCAATCAAAAATAGGAAATACGACTAACGCCTACAAAGAATTAAAGTTGGAGGACGTAGCAAGTACGAGAATGGTGATGCAGCGACGGCGCCAGGAGATGTGGATTGTGGAAAGTACAGACTTCAGATAGACTGGTAGAAAAAACTGAAAAAGTCAACAATTGATGTGAGGGTGAAAAAAAATGGAGACTTGACAGCCGTTTCATAGACTAGACTTGGAAAAATGTCATGTGTTTTTAATTCATCTATTAAAAAATATTAAATGCAACCATTATATCTGATCTTTTTCAATTAACTTTTGTAATTATAAAAGTTGATCGACATATGGTTAAAATCTCGTACATATGAGAATGAGACAAAACCTTATTTGATTCCCGTTGATTATTGGTCCAGTCTCCATTATTCATCCAACTACTCCATACATACAAAGAAATAATCAGCTGTTTCAAAAAAAATTAAATAAATAAATTAAGTTTCAATCATTGAACCTATAGAACAAAATAAATATACATGCATCGCAAAAATAAATTATATAAATTAAAATTTGATAAGTACAATTTAAAAATAATTAAGTTATTTATATTAATTATTAGATAGCAATTTCTAACACTAATTTGTTATATAAAATTATGACAACTATAAAATTGTCCTTATGGTTTATCAAATGTCACAAACTCAGTATCTGTTAATTTTTTTTATACAAATGGCCCTCGTGGTTTCTAAACTTGCATGAATGGTCTCTGTGGTTTCTACAACTTGCACCAATGGTCTTTGAGCCAGACAAAATGAGTTAAATGCCCTTTCTTAATTTCTTTTATCTTTTTCTTAAATTATATTTAATTATTAAAAATTAATAAATAAATAAACTCCTACCCACCCCATCCCCACTTCTTTCTTCTTGTTCTCTCTCTCCGGACCACTCTTCTCATCGTCTTTCTCTCTAAATCGGAGAATAGGTACTCCCCACCTTCCTTCCCATTCGTTTTCTCCGTCTTTGGTGGCCATCAAAAATGTTTTTAATTGATGCTCTGATTCCGAAAATGTGGTAATAGACGCAAAGCTTTTTGACGGGGGGATGAAGTCAGGAAATCAGGTGATGGTGTTGTAGTCAGGCATCTAGAGGCGATGGTGGTGTAATGTGGCAGTTAGAGGATAGGGAAGAAGGTGGCCTAATCAGGCAATCAGAAACATTCTTGGGGTCAGTACATGGTTGAAAGCACAAGATTGCTTGTCCAGTGCATGATAAAAACGTTGATGTTAAATGTGACTCGAGCATTTGGATCATGTTCGTGGAGCATTTGGAGCATTTGGAGCATTTGGAACTCGATGGAGCACTTAGGGTTCATGGAGCATGTGACAAAAGGAACGAATCATCTGAGAAAGGAATGGATCGCCTGACAAAGGAACGGATCAAGTGTCAAAGGAATTGATTAAGTGTCAAAGGAACGGGTCATACAGAAGGGGGTTTGGAGCACCTATAAGAGGTTTGGAGCACTTGGGAGTGATATGAAGCAACAAGGGAACCTTCACTACAACAAAATTTCAATTTAGCTACGGAAAAATTTCATAGCAAAAAGCTGAAATTCCATAGCTAAAGCTGAATAACTACGAAATTTGTTACACAATTTATCAATTAGACTCCATAGCTTTATTTCTTGTAGCGAAACATTTAGCTACGGAATTATAATTCCGTAGCAATTTTGCTATGACAGTTTCAACGACATCTATTTCGTTGCAATTTAAGTTCCATAGAAAATTTTGTAGCTACTTTTCCGTGGCAAATTCTGTAGCTTTTTGTTCCGTAGCAAATTCTGTAGCCATCTGGTCCGTAGCCGTGTGTTCTGTAACAAATTCTGTAGTCGTGTGTTCCATAGTAAATCTTGTAGTCGTGTATTCCGTAACAAATTTCGTAGCCTTTTGTTCCGTAACAAATTCCCTAGTTGTGTGTTCCGTAGCAAATTTTGTAGTTGTCTGTTCCGTAGAAAATTTTGTAGCCGTCTGTTCCGTAGCGAATTTCGTAGCCGTCTGTTCCGTAGCAAATTCCTTAGCCGTTTGTTCCATAGCAAATTTCGTAGTTGTTTGTTCATCAACAATTTGTCTCGTAGCAATAGATTCCAAAGCACATTCAGTATGATAAAAATATTCAACAAAATCCATATTTTCAATTATAATATTCATAAAAATATATAAAAATGTTGTAAATATAAATATAATAGTTACATCAGTTTTATAGATATATTATATCATCGAAAATTATTCTACAATGTTGTCTAATCATCAAAACTAAATATTGATTACAAATACAATCAACAATTTAGATTCGAACCGCCACATACACACAAATAGCCACATATGCTCAACCAAAATGGCAAAACCTGCAAAATAAAATTTACAACCAACTAGATTAAAATCCAACTATTTTATTTGACATACTATTAATAAACAAAATGAATCACCTTTTGAGAACCATCAAATCCAACATTAGTGTGGTTGTTGTTTTCTCTTTCCAAGCCGTCACATGATGCCAAAAGGATATCAAACTATCACATGATGTTAAAAGGATTTGAAATAAAGTTGAAAAACAAATGATAATACATTGATCATAGACACCTGAATAGTAATTATTGACTTATTTTTATAACACTTGATTTTCTATTATAAAAGGTAAAATAAATAAATTAACTAATTAAAAAACTAAACCTGCATAATGATCTTATTATTGATATTGCTCTATAATGTTAGGTATCACTGTTTTTTATCCCAAAACCACTAAAAATAAAATATGATATAAGATAACAATGGTTAATAAATAACCATCTAATTTCATTTATTTCTTTGTTATAGCATCCTACTTTTATTTCATCCTATTACAACATCGTAAAAATCTACCCAATTGTATACAAATTAATTTTCATTGATATAATTTGGTAGCTTTTTCAAAGTATAGTGTTCTAACAAGAAAAACTTGAAAGTGCAATGTTATATCAAGCAAATAAATGGAATTGCATTGACACCAAAAATATTGAGTTAGATAAAATTTTAATCTGTTGGTTCACAAATATTATAGAAATATCTTATTGGAAATTTAAGCATACTACTTTTTACTTTAAAATACCAATGTACTTTTGTTTGCTTATCTATTTTAGCATCCTACATTTTACTTAGAAAATTTACCTAATTGTAGCAATGTGATCTAAATGCAAATACTTTAATGAAAGTAGATTTGTTATTTTTTGCATTTAGGCTTAGTCCATTAAAAATTAAAAAAATAACAACTTATTTTTAGGATAAAATGGAACTATTTTTTAAGCACAAAGCTTAAACATGATGGTTTTGTTATCACCTGGAGTGGAGTGGAGGGGAGTGGACCGGAGTGGAGTGGAACCTGGAACAAAAAAAACAAATAAACTTGATCTCAACAAGTTGATCAAAAATGTTAACTTGCAAATACATATATAAATAAACTTGCAAATAAATAATTAAAAAGATATATGCAACTAGAAATATAAAATTGAAATAACAACTAATAATCATCTAAGCTGCAATAATCTTTACTTGATCCGCTTTCATATCCGTACAAAATGTGTTCGTTGGACTAAATTATGTTTCTTTTTTAAACTTGTGTTATTTGTTCTTCACGACTTGTTAAGATATGTAATAAATTTTTCAATGTAGAGTTCCTTAAAAAATGGAATGGATAACGTTATGCATAGACATAAGAAGGTTCAATGTAGAGATCATATGTGATGTCAAAGACCAATGTTAAAGCTGTCAGACTATCGTTATAATTATCCCAATGGTAAGAGGGCATGTTATTTACTCAACATTAAATCATGCATCTAATTATAATTGGTTGTGTTTCCTTATTGTCTCCACAAACTTAACTCTTGTGAACCATAAGGTTGTGTTTGTTACATAGGACAAGAATGGACATTACAATCATACAAATTCTATATAATGGGATAAGACATAAGACAACCATAATATACTCTCGAACTACTTCATGTTATTCTATTGTCCCATCTTCCCTTAGATACATATATTAAATATGTAAGCTTTAAACTTAGTGAGAGCAATTATATTTTTATAAATAAACAAGTTTCATAAAACAAATAAATAGAAGCCATGGATTATAATTCAATAAGAAATAACAAAATATGGAGAATCGAGTATATGGAATCAACACGTATACTATTTTAACATTGCATGTTCCACTATGGAAAGTGACTATTGCACTTATAAAATTGCAAAACAAGACCACTTAATATGTGATAACAAACATATGTCACATGCTACCTATAATCAAGGCCCTTTATAGTACTAGAAATCCAATCATAGGATCTTCTCAGCTCAAATTTGACATAAATATTTTAGTTCTTAAACCCAACATTGTGATTGCTTATAGTTTGAAACGCCTAGTAATTCGACTCTACTACTTAAACAGCCATAGTTAAACACAAACAAGTGGACTCTTTTTCTTGGGATGGACTACTGTGTAACATCCTAATTTTCAAGACCAAAAATTTTGTTTTTAAGTACGTGACTTACAAAATTGTTTACTGAAAAACATCAGTGAATCATATTATTTCATAAAACCATAGTCGCATGTCTCAACCATATCATCAAAATAGTAATAATGTCAGAGTACAATCCTGTGGATCTCAAAATGCGGAAATCATATGTGTGCGATGCGTTGCTACCGTGCCGGCTCCTTCCCCTTCGATGATGAAGTACCTGAAACAAAACTGAAAATTGTAAGCATGAAGCTTAATGAGTTCCCCCATCATACCACATGCCATATAATGGCTATCCCTCGGTATCTTTCAACCGGTATCTTTCTGGCATATTTGGGAGCTGAGCTCCCCTTCAGTATCTTTCAACCGGTAACCGGAAGCTAACCTCTCCATCGGTATCTTTCAACCGGTAACCGGGAGCTAACCTCCCCTTCGGTATCTTTCAACCGGTAACCGAAGACTATTTCACCCCCTACCACTACCACATAATAGCATAATATACACATACTGCTAGGCATGCATAGGTTCTGACGACCCCTTCGGTATCTTTCAACCGGTATCCAGGGACTATCTCATCCCTTCTACTACTAACATATATATCAAAGCATCTTAACACATAAAGCATTTCAGATAGTGGAGAACCAGACAATTATCACAAAGACAATCATCTAATAATCATCCCCTACTAGTGGGCCGGCATTGTGGCCGTAGACCCACCACTATTGGAAGGTAACTCACATCAATGTCGTGAAGTGTCTGAACTGTCCTCGATGCTGGAATCAACTCCTCTCAAACTCCTATACATAACAATCTTACTTAACTATCATTTCATACTCTTACCCTTTCAAGGGTCAACTCAGGTCAAAGTCAAAGTCAATGTCAACACCCTGGTCAAGGTTAACTTTTGGTCAAAGTCAACATCTGGTTGACTCAACTCACCGAGTTGGTCTACCAACTCGTCGAGTTCCATAATCCACCAAAAACATGGAACTTCAATCCTACCCGTCGAGTCTTTCAAGAACTCGTCGAGTTCACCTTCATACAAAATTGGGACCTTTTTGCTCTTCGACTCGCCGAGCTCATCCATGAACTCGTCGAGTCCTTCTTCATACATGTTGAAGCGTTTAGTCCTTGACTCGCCGAGTTCTTCTCTAAACTCGTCGATTTCTTCTTCATATAAGTTGGGGCATTGCCTTGAACTCGCCGAGTTTGTTCTTGAACTTACCGAGTTCCATGATCTTCAAGTCCATAAACGAGCCCAACTTACTGATTTATCTTCAAAACTCAACAACTTGCTCAATATCAGAAGAGATTAGGGGAAACTGCGACCCAACTCACCGAGTCGTATGAGCGACTCGTCGAGTCCCTCAATGTCCAAATCAATACAGCCACTTTCAGTCGGGCTTAACACATCTAAAACGTAGATCTGACCTCCTAGGTCCATATTACACGTAAAGTTACAAACTTTACGTGCATGCAAGGTATCATGAG